AACATTGCACTTTAAGAATACGTAAACTTCAGACTGGTAAAAAAAAATTTGTCTCTCAATAATAAGCTTTGAATCGCGAGCTTCTTGCTATGCTACCCATGGTCTGCATACGTATAAAAATACGATGTATACCTTTGACTTGCATTAGTCCACCCAATTTTTTCTCTAGTATTTTCATTAGTTGTACGAAATTATTAAGGGTGTATTGCTGCATGACTATCAAATCAATAATTATAAACAAATATTGCAAGAAATTAGAAAAGAATATTTTTTTCGGTAAATTAAATTTTTTTTTTCCTAATATTCTTTGGTTAGTTTAAAATAAAAATTATTTTTTAGAATTTTTCTCTGCATGACGGCAGGTTTGAAAATAAATTCGCAAATTTGAAGAATCATAATTTATTTTTACCTACACAGGACTCATATTTTTTGAAAAATCACAGTAAGTTTTATTGAGGTAACACTATTTTTCAAGTTTTATACACATTTTTACAAGTGTTATCTTTCTTGCATTTACAAAATGAGCAGCAAGAAATCTGTTCAGCAACGCATCTACACGTTATTCTGTTGCATAGTTTGCAGTTGCACGGAGGTAGAAGGTCATGATAGGGAGGTATTAAGGTCCTTATCTTTTCGGGGATTAGCAAGTCATCTTCTTCAATGTACCCAAAATTTTTTGGATTTAATTTTGCAAGCATTTATTTCCAAACATTTAATTTGAGTGTATACTACGAAAAAAGCTCGAAGCATATGCAGCCTTATAGAATATGAGGTGGGTGGAAGATCTTCTATTAATGATTGCTTGCAATGATGATAAGACCACACCCTCAATTTATCGAACGTCTTGCATTTTGCATTTTTATTTGCTACATTAACCAAAAATTTTTCGGCATTTACTAAACTATCATTTAATACTGCTTCGAAATGATCTGATTGAGGACTTTATGGTTTAAAACTGTAATTCATTTACAATAAAATTTTCGTACCTGTATAAAATTGAAAAATACTATGTCTGTAATTTTTCACAAAATTAATTACTTTGCTATATGGTTACTCAAAAACGGTACGTCAGATTTAAAAATTCTTGGTTTTTTTTTGATCAGCAAGACATTGCCTTCTAAATAAATATTAGTTTTCAATATTCTGTCGATAGAATTTTTTTTTAATCAGTAGGAGAGTTTGTTTACCTATGCTACACGTGCTAAAAAGGATACTTTTGAAGCAGTACAGTTAAAAAACGGTACGTCAGAAATAAATAAAATTTTAGCTACGTATTAAGTCAATCATTAGGTACCATTTAAGCATAAATTTAAATTTTTCTGTCGACATCGCGTTTTTGGATGAACTACCTTAAG